CAAGGGAGTAGACACCAAACGGGAGTTTAAACAAGGTCCAGGAGGGCTCACGAAAACCTACTGAGGGACCCTTCAGGTTATCTGGAGAGGATCTCTGAGGCTTATCGGCACAATACAGACATTGACTTGGAGTCCCAGAAAACCTTAAAATGATAAATATGACTTTCATAGGAAAGTCAGCTCCTGACATTCAAAAGAAGCTTCAGAAAATAGAGGAGCTCTAGGAATATCTATGTCACCATTGGTTGAGATTGTCTTTTAAGGTCTCTAATAGCTGTGACCTCTTCCAGGAGAAGGAGGAGCAACACAAATGAGACAGCAGGCACCCTGTTAGCCACAGCACCAAGCCTGTGACAGCCAGGTTCCCACCGGGGCTCACGGCAGTGCTCCTGCTGAGCAGGAAGGACACCGGGAAAGAGAATGCCTAATTAAGAAACCTGAGGAAGCTGTCAGCCAGTATTTCAGTTGCCACAGACCCCGAATCTGAAGCAATACCCCTTGAGAAGTCAAGCTAAGATGGGTATCCAACCCTTGATCTCCACCTTCCTGGAATGCCGACTTATATGCCATGCCAGTCACCATGAAACACCCCAATCCTGCCCATGCAGAATTGTGGGGCCAAGGACTATAGGTCTGCCTAGACCTCAGGCAGGTGACCAGATAATGGAAGATAGCCATCTGGTGGTGCCAAATCCATGCCTTCTGCTCACCACCTTGACAGGAGGTGTCTGTTGGTTTACTGTCTTGGACTTACAAGATGCCTTTTACTGTACCACTGAGTTCAGAGTCCCAAGAGCTATTTGCTTTTGAATGGGGGGACCCAGAAACTAATAAGACAGCAATACTGCCTGACTGTACTTCCCCAAGGGTTCAAAAGCCCCTACTATTTCCCTACAGGAGGGATCTTAGCTAAAAACTTGAGAGTTGCAGTTGGAAGAGGGAATGAATATTGTTCCAATATATAGATGACATTTTGATAGCCACCAAAACTAAGGAGGTGGCTAGACCTGAATACCATTGTAACACTGAATGTTCTAGCCATGAAGTATCCAAAAAGAAGCCTTAAATATCCCAACCGACAATAAAATATTTAGGATTTGCACTTTCACAGGGCAAAGAAATCTTCTCCCTGATCAGTCAGGGTAGCTGTTCCTATAAACAGAGGACAGCTGTGGGGATTTCTGGGAAAGGCAGGATTCTGCTGAATCTGGATTCCAAACAAAGGACTTAGGACAAAGTCCCTCTATGAGGCCCTGAAGAGTAGAAACAATGAGCCTTTAAACTGGACTGCAGATTGCCATAGGCATTCCAAAATGTAGACGAAAAGCCGATGACTACCCCTGCCCTAGGTCTTCCAGACCTAAGGAAGCCTTGACCTCTTTGTTCATGAAAGGCAGGGATAAGTCTTGGAGTATTAACCCAAAACTTGGGGCCCATAAAAGGAGCCATTAGTTTTCAAAATAACTAGACACTGTCACACAGGGGTGGCCAGTTTACCTTTGGGCAATGGTGGCTACCTG